TTTCCATCTGAGATATAGTCAAGCCAGTCAGCCTCCTCATCCCAGAATACATCTTAGAATTCCAAGTACAACTTGTCCATCAAACCAGCTCCCATCTTTTCAATTGAGTCTTGTTTAGACTGAGGTAATGGAGGGGTAAAGTTGATCATTTTACTTTTCAAGATAGCAAGTGGCACTGTCACAATAACTTTATTAGCTTCATAAATTTGACCATTGTCTGTGATAACATTCACATATTCTCCTGAGTAGTCTATATGAGTTACTTTCTAGTCAAGAATGATATTTAGATCTTTTGCTAGAGTTATAGGTATCTAGATGTAACCATCTGGGAAGATATGTTCAGGACCGAAGAAATTGGAATCATTGTCAATATACTTTCCAGATAGTTAATCAGCATCAGCAGCGTATTCAAATCCATAGTAGTAAGCAAAGGTAAAGTCCTTGATATTTTGATCTACCAAAGCATCACCACTAGATGACTTTTAAGTAAAGTTGAACTTTGAGTACATTTCTTTAAGAGATGTGTTTTTGAATGCCTTGTCCTGTAATCTCTCAAAGCTGTTCTCAAATTTCTTAATAACATTGTCAACATCATAAGTCGTTTTTCCTCCCTTGTACCAGAAAAACAATGTCTCTGCATCATCTTCATCCTTCCATGTAGCCAAAGTTTTGATATTATTATCAAGAGTTATCTGATATAATGGATTATATTTATTTTTCCATTCTTTAAGACGATAAGCTCCTTTACCGATACCGTGAATCCAAGAAGCTCCCATGTCTATTGTAGTATCTCCGACTTATGTGGTAAATATTCTACCTCCAATTCTATCTCTGCCTTCAAGCACAGTGACATCTCAACCTTCATCATGCAATTTTTTGGCTGCAGCTAATCCTGATATACCAGCCCCGATGACTATGATTTTTTCCTTACAGCCCTAACCCTAAACAGAATGCATTAATTTAGAAGCTATCATTAAAGTGAGTCAAATTAATATATTTTTAATTTATTAATACATTCTAAGATTATTATATTCTGACTAACTATCTAAGTTTAATCAATTGACTGTGGGGTTTTGGGGTTTTGGGG